CACGGCCCACCAACACGCACCATACAATTGCCTCTTATTAAGCCCCATATCTAAACGACATGTGTACAATAACAAGATGCATCTCTGTTGTGCTCTATTATTATGTAGAGCAGCAAAATGGTATTTTTCTGTTGTGGTACAACGTGTACAGGTGTAGACTCGTCATTTACATCACAAAAAGACGAAATAAGCGTTTCATTTGGACGACGCGAGATGTCGTTAAGATAACGCGATTGGTCACTCGGTTTTACTAGATTTTCTGATGTCGACTGCTTTGTTTTCTTGATTCTTGAACGAATGCTGGTCTTTTTTCTCATGAAACTTAATATTCCGGCGTTATCTGATTGAAATTTGGTACATTTTACTGACTTAATCTGCGTTTTTTGGTGGACAGAATTCATTTTAATCGGTTTATTAAAACTGCAGGGTATGTTCGGTACATTGTTAGTCTAGAAGTCTAGAAATCACACAGACTATAGTTATTAATGTTGAATCTTAAAATGCAATATAGTTAATATAGGGGTAATTTGTTGGCTATATGCAGACAAAATTATCTAAGAGAACAATTTATTGGTATTAAAGAAAATAACTTTGTTGAATATGCAATTTTAATGTTAATAAACCATAAATATTTTTAAGTACAAGTAATAATAAATCATAATTTCGATAAACCTTAATAATAAAAATTTATAAAATTCCGCTTGTTCATGCCCTATCCCAACATTTTTCGTAATAATATGGTTACCATTTCCAGTTCTGTCAGCGCAATGCATAGCGACCTCGACTCGTGCCTTTTATTAAATCGCCCTGTCAAATTTTGCCAAACCAATTACAGTAATACTTCAGTAGTTCGGACACTCGCTAAAACGGACACTCCAGTAATCCGGATTGCGCTATAAACCGGACATTTTCAAAATTTTACAAATCTAAACCGGACGTTAAAAATTTCGTAAGAAAACCGCAACAATCATTTTCCTGTCTTAAAAAGTTTGACGCGACGTAAAGATTTTAGGCATTTTTGCATTCGTTTTATTCTAGTCAGTCGTACGTAAGACACATAGTTATCTTTTCTGTCGGGGATGGCTCCAAACAAAAGGCCCCACAAAACATTTACAATCAGCAAAAAATGTGAAATATTAGACAGTCTAGATAAATTCGGAAGTATCCGTCAAACGGCCGCAACTAGATCCACTATTTTTGATATAAAGAAAAATAAGGTCAAAATAACAAACTTTGTGTCAAAATCATATCAAGGGAGGTGCTCAATAACTTTTTGTCATTAAAAAATGCATAGTTAATCTGAATTTTATGCAAGCGGCAGGTGATCGGAAAAGCCGAGAATCCTGAAGTTGAGGCTGCTTTATACAATTGCTTGCCCACGTACCTGTTTCTTCAGATCTTTTAAAAACAAAAGCGAACCATTTTTATGAACGCATAACCCAAGAAGATGAATTTCTGGCGAGCTCTAGTTGGCTTGATAAATTCAAGAAACGACACAATATTTGATTTTTAAAGGTTTGTGATGAGAAACTTTCGAGCGATGTGAACACCGTTTCTACATTTTAAGAAAAGTGCTGTGGTGCAGGAAATAGGCTAACAAAGATACAGGTGTATAATACTGACGAATCCGCGGCATTTTGGAGAGTGCTGCCCGATAGAATATGGTTTAATAGTCAAGAAAAATCAGCTCCAGATAGAAAAATCTCCAAAGAACGTGTAACCTTCATGCCCTGTTGTAACGCAAAAGTCACACTTAAGTTGCCACTTCTGGTTCTCGGCAAATCAAATACTCCCAGAGTTTTAAGAAAATGCTGAGCTACCCGTTGTGTATAAAGCAACCAGTAAAGGATGGATGACAAGACCTGTATTTATAGAGTGGTTTAAAACATGTTTTATGCAAAGAGCAGGTGTTAATAGGCCTAAAAAAGCTTTATTGCATCTATCATGCACCCTCTCATCCTTCAGAGGAAGAAATAAATTCTATTCCAGTTTTTAGAGCTATGTTCTTGCCCCCTAACTGCACGGCAGTGCTACAGCCAATGGATCAAAACTTAATTCAAAATATAAAGGTGGGATACAGAAAGCGCTTGTTAAATCAAGTCACATGTGAAGATGTTAAAAGAATACAACTTTAAAGATGCAGTAGATAACTTGGATTTAACTAGAAAATAAATTTCTCTAAAAAATATATAAAAGAGCTGATGAGCATTATGGACTGAGTCCATTTGCGGTACAGAGGAGTTAGAGGATCCGCAGTCTAATGAAGACAATCTTTCACTTTCGGAACTTCAAAAGAGGCTACTTTGTAAATGAAGCCATTACAGATTCGCTGAATATCATAGATCCAGAAAATAACTAAAGTAGCAATGATATTATCCAGTGGGCGACTGGAGAAAAAGACACCATTGTAGACCAAACAGAAGAAGACATAATAAACGAGGCAATAGTTAATAAAGACCAACAGAATAAATCTGGCGAATCAGACATTGAAGGAGGAATTGTGCAGAGATTAAAACACGGTGCCGCTGCGAGGTCATTATCATTATCTATTCAATGGACAAAGGAAAATATTAAAGACATATTGCTACTCAAAAGACTAACGGAAAAAGCGTCCAAACCAAGTTAGACACCTTTTTCACATTAAAATTATGTACATTAAATTACATAGTTTAAGTTATATGTACCAACATAAGTACATATATTGTAGTTTTATAGTTTTTGTAACATTGGAATGTTTTTTTTAAGTTTCTTCTTTTTTTATGTAAGCACTTTTACGAAATAAAGGTACATATTTATGTATGCAATTTTGCGATTTTTAATCAAAAAATAAATAGTTTCAGTTGTCCGGATACCTCGATAATCCGGAATTGACTACAACGATATGTGTCCGAATTACTAAAGTTGTACTGTATTTACAATGAGTTGCCCGTATCCTGTTGTCTCTGATATTAGTCTACGATCGTTTATGTATGAAAAGAAGCGATTTAACATGGACGCAGCATTATATAACCCTCCGTGTATCATCCGTATGACCTGCCGACTCAAATAGTAACATCGTAATACATCAAATCCTCTCATAAATGAATGATCGATGATAAGCAAAATATACAGTATCGGCTATCGAACGCTTTCCAATACAAGTTAAACAAGTGCATGTGAAAACTACAGAAAATCAGCATTAAAGGAAGAAGGAAACGAATAATATCAGCGTTGCCAGTTTATACGGCCCGACCAACGTTACGACTCGATCGGGCCGTATAAACTGAAAACGCTGATGTTATTCGTTTTCTGCTCTCTCTAATTCTACCTGTCTGTTGTTTTCACATACAATTGTGCAAAACGTATTGGAAAACGTTTATTGGCCGATACTGTGTGTTAAAAACATCCTTTAACTATAGTAACTGTATTTTAGAAAAACTGGTCCTAGAATTGCAACATAATTAAATATTAAACATCGGTTAATGTAAAAATTTATAAAATTGATGAAAGAACTTTTCACAAAAAAATCCTATTCTGAATTTTTGAATTATCAGTTTACCACCCTGTATCATAGAGTGACAGTTTTTAAATGTGTTTAATTTATTTCATAAAATTTAGGACAAATCGTTTAAAGCTATAAACAATATTTATGAGTACAAAAAAAAATATGACGCATCACCAACAAGCAATTACTTAAACTATATTTTGGTGGTGTATTTATATTTTTCTAATTTAGACATACAAAGTGACTATTTTTTTAAGTCAGTGTGTCCTTCTTTGAAATAAACTTTTAATAATAATTTGTATATTATTTATTTTAAAACCAAGAAAAATTTATTTTTATTTGTTTTCTTTTTGCAACAGGTGACATAATGCATTTTTCGAAACCAGTTTCATGATATTATACATTATGCAACTGCCATAGACCATTTTGACACTTGCTGCGATCACACAAAATTTCACTTTTATATGTCAAAAATAAAAAAATCATTAGAACACAATACATGACAAAAAAACCCACTTTTTTGAAAACTAAATAATTTTAATAAGCCATATAAATCACTGCAAGTCGTTGAGTATAAATAAATAATATTATGTTCTGTCAATAAAATGATACATTACAACTAACAATACAAGGAAGTAGTAATATTGGTTGTGTATATTTAGGGTGGAGAGAAAAACAAATTTTTTTTTCTCTAGCCTGGGGGTGTAATTTGTAGCCTATAAAAAAAGAAAATTATTAAAAAAAAAAATTTTTACTCAACGTCTTGAGGTGGCCCACTGATTTTTTAAATTAAATTTAAATTAAAATTCTTTTGAATGAAAAAAAAATTTTTTTTGGCTTGTAATCTTTAAATTTATCTAAATATAAACAAATTTGATCGTGTTCAACTAGAAATTCGCTCTATTGCCTCAGAAAAGCATGTTACTCTTTTCAAATTTTTTTAAAAACAACAATAATGACCACAAAAATTTTTTTAAGTTCATAACTGTTAATTAGCAAGAAAGAGGACACTCCGCAGTTTCCGGAACACTTTTGAAAAAAATTTTACGACCACTCGTTTCAGAGTTATTAATGAACAAATATTGATTATTGACTAAAAATTCGGATTGAAAATGAAGTTAGAAAAATTTATATTTAATTTAAACTTTTTCATAAATTTTGTATCGAATGATGATCTAATAAATGTAAGTTTTTTATAATTAACGTCATTTTTTCAGAGGTAAAGATAGAATCATACTGGTTACAATTAAAAAAAAAGTGGTTGTTTTTTTTCATCATAGATGGCGTCGAGAAATATTTAATATTTATTAGTTTTTTACTTTTTTTTTTAGTAAAATTATTGATGCTTATTAGTTAAAATTGTTAAACGTTTATCAGTGCAAGTGGGACTTTAACCGATATTATCAGTCTCTTGTTAACAATAATGGAATTTAAAGTGTTTTCATATCTAAAGTTAATAATTTGTAGCCAAGTGTAATTTTATTGTTGATTATTAATTCTTTTGATTGAGTTGATAATGACATCTACTGCTGCGTGTCCAATTTTTGGTGCCCCTGAAAAATTTGATTCAACATGTTTACCAACTCAAGAAAACTTCATCAAGCACTATTTATGGGTTCAATCAGAATTACGAAGTTCTTCTTCTAAAGAACCAAATACTGAAACTATTTTAAAAATTGTACTACAGGATATCAAAGCTATATGGGAAAAAGTGGCAATTCCAATAATTTCAGAACAAAGAATTATTAATTTGATGAAAGAATTATATCAAAAATATAAAAATATAAAAAAACCTGGAAAATCACGCAATACTACAGGGTACAAACTAAAAAAAGAAGAATATTACTTAAATGCAAAAAAACTATTAGATATTGCAAAATGTAAATGTTTGTCTGTTATGAGATGTATTTGTAAAGTTAAGTTATCGACTTTTGACCATAAATTTTTACTAGACCAACGAAACACTAGAATTCTAAATTTTGTTGATCTTTCTCCGTCTAGAAAGAGAAAATTGAATGATCCTACTTCTGCAGATGACAGTGTATCAAGCTTGCCTTCTTCTATAGGCACCGAAGATTCTCAAATAGCAACTCGCCAAATTAGTTCTATTTCAAACTCACTAAGTGTTTTTTCCGTTGAATTGGAGGATTCTTCAGATTTAGATGAATCGTTTGTTTATGAGAAACCTACTAAGCAAATGAGAATGGACTTACAAAACTACGCTAAGGCTTGTGACAGAACAGGAGTATCTGATAGAAATGCTGCAATTCTTGCTACTTCCCTACTCGAAGATCTCGGAATAATTCATGAAGATCAATCGAATAACATTGTTGACAAATCTAAAATCAGAAGAGAGCGTCAAAAATGTCGAAATACTTTGCAGGACAAAACTGTAAATAAAATGATTTTGTCTAGTTTATATTTTGTTCTGTTCAGACAAATTGGGGAAAAATTTTATAGAAAAATATCTTCTGAAGAACATATTGTTTTGATTTATAAGCCTAATTCTGATTACTTAGGACACGTGACACCTGCGACAGGAGCTGCAGAAAACATTAAAGACTGTATCATAAATTTTATTGAAAAAAAAAATCGAACTACTCAAAATTACGAGTCATCGGAAGTGATGGAGCTAACGTTAATACTGGAAAGAGAAATGGAGTTATTGTTCGAATTGAAAGATCTTTGGGCTGGTCAGTTCATTGGTTTATTTGTTTATTCCATTTAAACGAATTGCCATTTCGACACCTGATTTTAAGTTTGGATGGAGTAACAGCGGGACCGAATCAGTGGGCTGGATCTATAGGTAAAGCATTGAAAACATGTGAAACTCATCCTGTGGTTGGATTTGAAAATTTTTTATTAGATATACCTTTATTACCAACACAAGATTTAAGTAAAGACCAAAAATATTTATATGAAATATCTGTAGCAATATCTAATGGAATATTACCCGCAAACTTGGTTCACTGCAATCCAGGAAATTTGTGTCATTCGAGATGGTTAACTACCGCCAACAGAATATTACGACTGTATGTATGTATCGAAAAAGAAACCGACTAAAAATCTCAAAACTTTAACTACTTTTATAATTAAAGTTTACGTTCCAACTTGGTTTGCTATCAAATTACACCCATCATGTATTTATGGTTCAAAACATTTGTTTGATATCATTAGTCGATCAAGATACTTAGAAAAGAGTTTAAGAAATATAATTGACGCTGTTATTCAGCGTAATGGATATTTCGCACATCCTGAGAACATTCTACTGGCTATGTTAGGAGATGAAAGAAAATTAGTACGAGAGCAAGCTGTAAATACCATCATGGAATCTAGACTAAAAAATGATTCAACAGAAAAATTGCGTTCGTTTAATGTTCCAACTTTGAATATGAGTGCAAAAGATTATACTGACATGATTGATTGGAAAAAGATAAACATAACTTAACCTCCATTAACACGAGATCTTGAAGAACACAATTTGAGATTAGTTGTCGAGAATGGTTTAGGTGATGACATTACTGGACACCCCTGTCATAATCAAGCTGTGGAAAGGTCTGTCAAATTAGTTACTGAGTCATCGTCAAAAGTTTGTACTTCGACTTCACGGGATGGATTCATCCGTACGACACTTGAATCACGGAGTGAATGACCAAAATTTAATACAAAAAAAGAATATACCATCAAACTTGGTGCAACCATCAATAATAATTCAAATGTAATTGACTAGTTTACGAACAAATTTTTACTGATTTTTATGCACATATGATAATTGTTTACTTTCCTCGTTATTTAATTTTTAAATTTGTGTTTTTCCATAAATTTCATTCAATAATTATAAAAATTGTAATTAAAATGATAGAATATACATTGTTAAAAAGTAAAAAAATAAAAAACTGTTCATTTTAAATATAAATTTTTCTAACTTCATTTTCAATCCGAATTTTTAGTCAATAATCAATATTTGTTCATTAATAACTCTGAAACGAGTGGTCGTAAAATTTTTTCAAAAGTGTTCCGGAAACTGCGGAGTGTCCTCTTTCTTGCTAATTAACAGTTATGAACTTAAATTTTTTTTTGTGGTCATTATTGTTGTTTTTAAAAAAATTCCAAAATAGTAACATGCTTTTCTGAGGCAATAGAGCGAATTTCGAGTTGAACACGATCAAATTTGTTTATTTTTAGATACATTTGAAGATTACAAGCCAAAAAATTTTTTTTTTCATTCAAAAGAATTTTAATTTAAATTTAATTTAAAAAATCAGTGGGCCACCTCAAGACGTTGCGACTAAAAATTTTTTTTTTTTTCAAAAATTTTCTTTTTTTATAGGCTACAAATTACACCCCCAGGCTAAGGAAAAAAATTTTTTTTTCGCTCTACCCTAGTGTATATGTCATTAATTTCCTACCAAAATACAATTTTATAAATAATCTAGTCAAAATTAGAAAAAATATTGTATCTAACACGTTCATATTACGGGACCTCGCTCTGCTCGTCCCGCAAATATTCACCAGTTACATAAAATAAGGAATTTGGCAAATGGTTTCATACATAGCTATTGTTCGTACTTTTAATCGTCATAAAATATATTTTTTCAAAAAATCCATATTACCTGCTTATTTCTGAACCACCCTGTATTTAATTAATTTCTACAGTATTTTTTATAAAATAATAATGCCAAATAATCTATAATTTAGGTTTATAATAACAAACGGAAATAAAATAAGTTAACAGACTTGTTTTATTCGAGATGAGAAATTTGGTTATAAGAAAGTGGCATTTCTGATGTTTAACACCATGTACTTCGAAAACTAATCATAGAATCGGTTTGGGCAAATGGACACTTTTTGTCAGAGCATCGAATTCTACCACATAACAATATTTCAGAAAATTTGATGGGAAAGCCATTTTTCCATAATAAAGATGCCTGGTCCTTTATGAAATCGATATTTTTTGGATTTTCATCAATAACTTCATTATTTTCAGTTGTACTTCTAGTACTTTGACTGACGCTACCAGTCTCTCTGAATAATTTTCAAAGAATTTGTTAAAATATTGTAGTCAAATACGAATTCAGGATGTTATTCAAGAAAATTATCCATGCATTCTAGAATTGAATATTGCAACTCGTCATTTACATTCGATAATATTTGCTTCTGCTTTGTGTTAAATACCATTATTTTAATAAAATTTTCTTAAAATATTTGACAAATTTTATGGTTAAAATGTCATTCCGTGAAAGTGGCTAAAATACCAACTCAAAACATTTAAATTTCATAATAAATTCCATTTACATTTATCGTTACATGAATAACACTAATTATGATTTGTTGCTATTTAAAATATCAGACTATACCATTTATTTCTTAACTATAAATATTTATGACTTAGAATATTTAAATGTATTTTTGAATACACGCGATTTTATACAGGAACATCAACTTGCTATTGTTTAAACATTTAAAACTTCGTTTTTTTTTTTTTGTTTTTAATTGAACACTATATTACTCGAATATTTGATATTATAATATAGGCATACAATGATAGTTTTTGATACATTTTAATTTTAATTGATATGTCAAAAATAATAGACAAGAGAAATATTAGAACAAATTGTAGTGAACATATTGTATTATTTTGCTGATGCCTAATTAATTGTTCTAATTTCAAATATCGGTGAGATTCAATTCATCGACTTACCAGCTGGAATCACAATAGAAAGGAACAAAACTTCAATGTTGATATGTTTTCTTCACCGTCACCTAATAGTAAGTACAATCTCTTTAATCGTTGGCATTGTGAGCGAACACGCCAAGCAAATTCTAGAAGGATATAACCAATTGTAATAATTGCTATTATTATAAATGGAAAATATACAGATTCCACAAAAATTATATAATTTAATTTACAAATTTGTTTTGCCCTAAATACATTTAGTTACATAATACCAGCATGAATTATTTAATCAAAAAAAGTGTTTTATTTTTTCGTAAACATGGTGTAAAAAAGAAAAAGGTAGGATATCAACTGAGTTAAAAATAAGACCACGCGCATTACGTCATGCGTAGAGTTCGTATAAGCGCGAATTTAAAAATACTGACAAAGTAATATGTTATTTACAGAAATATAATGAATATTAAAGGGTAGTGTTTTATTAATTAATTGAAATACCTAATGATTTTATTACGGGAAAGAGCTTTAAAGGAAAATAAATGCAAATACATGTTTTATTGGATATTCTGATGGAGAATAATACTAATCGTGCTCTGTAAAGTTCTTTAATTACCTTAACTCTTTATCAGTTAAATAAAAGCCGATTCCAAAATCGAAGTACGCCAACTAACCTTCAAAACTTGTCAGATGTCAGATGTCAAATATCCGATTAAGTACATCGTTGCCGGGTTTCTCATATAATTCTCACATGTCTTGAGCAAATTACATCAGCCCTAGTAACAGATCCTGCATATGTCGGATTTATCAGAGTTATCAGTTTCTAGGAAACCGCTGCATTTTATCTAGGTTTCTCATTTTAAACATCATTGTACATTCATTATTCTTGTAGTACAGATCGTAGTTGTAGAATTTTAACAATAATAAAAAATTTTAAAAAGCTATTTTCAATTTGAAAGTTTATTTTTGGCGCAGTCAGTAGGATATCTGGAATTGTCGCGTATCGAACGTGCTCGATTTTCGTCTCTACGATTAACCAGATATCGAACAATAAAACTGTTGTGATTCGCGAGTGAAGGTGTTGGATGTGGAGTGGCTCTCAAGAAATCGAGAAACTCAGTCTATCGAAGATCCATTGAAGAACCCCAAGTCGAATAACAACGGGGATTTGAACAAAATCGTCCATTTCTGCAAGGCTAACGAATTTTGGAAATAAATTCGATTCCTTATATTTATAGGCAGGGATATGCTCAAAATCGGTTTTATTTTAATGTGAGTAACTTTTATTTATGTCTATCGAATGACTATTGAATTCTTTAGAAAACCTAAGTATCGACAACACTTTAACTGACTCTGATAACTCTCAAGTTAATTTAATTGAAAATATAGATTCACAAAATACTAATTTTTCGCTTTCTAACTTAACAAATAGTGAAACAAATTTAGAAAATTCGGAAGATATAGCCGAATTCAAACCGGAATATTTGCGTGCCTTAATTCGACGGAAATCCGAACGAGCTCTATCGATATTTATCAGTTTGTGATTCAATCATTGCCAGTTTTTATATAGCAAATCAGCCGAATAATTTCCAAAATATATATTTGTTAAACTCACTTGTTTCCAAATTAAAAGGGAACGCCAGATTAGTGGTGAATATTCAAAAGGTTGCAACTTGGGAAAACTAAAAAGATACACTTACTAGAAATTTTGCAGACCAAAGGGATGAAGCTTGTTTAAATCGCGACTTAGTTTTGCTTAGGCAAAACCCTAATGAACGACCCCAACAATTTTATGATAGGGTGTTAAATATATTAAATCTCCTTTGTAGCTTTGTAGATTTACATGAAGAAACTGTCGAAAGTAAAATACTAAAAAGGGATCTTTATAATAAATTAGCTTTAAAGACATTTTTGTCAGGTCTTAAAGCACCTTTAGGTACTACAATTCGTTGTATGAAAGATAACTCATTAAATAGTGAATTACAGTGTGTTTTGGAAGAAGGTAACATACACTACTTTCAACATTTTCAGAATAGAAATCTAATTAGACCACCCGTTTCACAACCACGACAACAGCCAAGACAAAATTTTAATAATCAAAATTATCAAAATCGAAACTATTTTAATAACCAAATGAGCTTTATTCCTCAAAATGCAAATAATAATAATAATTACACGGCACGACGTCCTTTTCCTACTGGACCAGAACAAGAAATCAGTTTTTTCATCTTGTTCACAAGTATTTAAACAAAATAGAAATGTAAACGCCTTTAGACCAAACCAAATTCCAAATCAAAATTTACCTAAGCCAACGCCTATGAGTGTTTCGACCAGAAATACTTTTAATAACAGAGCACCTACCCGGGTTATGAACCAATACGGTAATGAACACCAAGAACTATTTAATACTGAGTGTGAACAAAATTTTTCGATAATCGATCGCTATAATAACCTACCTGACCAACACGTTGATAAAAGTTTTGACTATAATATTGAAACGGAAACACATGATCTAATTGATTGTTCTGAACCAGAGTCAAATTTTCGGAACAAGCCTCGAAACAAACCCATCACGTAAATTCGCAAATCATACCATTTCATGTGGTAAATCCAAGTGAATTACGATTCATTATCTTTCCCGAATATAATTCAAACATTTTGATAGATTCAGGCTCATCGAAATCATTCATAAATCCAACAAACGCTCACCAATTCTTTTCGAATCACATAAGAAACGATCCTTTTGTAGTATAGTAGATCAGCAAAGTTCATTCTGG